TAGCTCGGGTCCGTGGTGTCGCTACACTCCAAACGCCTACTTGCGCAGGCGCCCCTGCGGGCTCACATGGAGAGTTCTTCACATCGTGTTATGCAAACGAAAAAGGGGTGAGGTGAAACAGCTCTCTAAGATGGAGCACCAGTCCGGTCTAAAGTGTAGCTCTTCGTAAATATTTTTAAGGTGAATAGCCATTTGAATGATGTCTGTGCTTGAAAAGGTGGTGGGCTCTGCTTTGCGGTCTTGCATTCGTGTCTTCCCCAAGATGTGCATACCCATGAGGAAAAACTTTTCATATGGTACTTCATGAAGCGCTCCTGGTAGAAGATAACTTAGTGTGTGAGAAATATAAACAAAATGTTTTTAGGGCTCGCTCAAGGACATCCCAAAACAGTATGGCATCTTTGCAGCTAACAAAGCAATGTTCAATCGTTTCCGGCACATCACATAGCCGGCAGTTAACAGACGGAATAAAAATACCCTTTCTTTTTAACCATGTGTTTACCGCCGATGTTTCAGAGTGGAGTTTATAGAAGAATGTTTTTGAATTAGGTAGAATTTACAATTTGTGCACGCACTTGAACACATCATGGCCTGGAAGATTGGAGTACAGTGAGCGGTACAACAGAGGTTGGAAGAGTGTACTCAGCAGATCCTTATACAGCACCTTGCGCGATACTGTGTACAGGTATTCTACAGAAAAGCGAGCTTTAAGGAACTGAACTGCGAGGTAAACTTCCTGCATGAATCCCCACAAGCATGGGCGTTCCGAGAAGTTTGATGAAACCATTAAATCTTGTAAGCAATCAACAAGCGTAACCAGCAAAAGGAACGGATTACAGGATGGGAATTGTCTCGAAAAAAGAAGAATCGTGACACTATTTGCCATAGATAAAGGTATTTTAATCTCAACCCACCTTCACTAACTGGCTTGAATATATCATAACGAGGTATGGGCTCAAAATTTGAAGACCATATGAAAGTAGCGAAAATGCGATGAAAGCGTTGTACATAGAATATTGCGCAATGAATAAGTTGCAATGAATAGTAAAGCTTTGTTGCTAAGAAAGAGTTGCAAGCTTCAGCTATCCCAAAGATTGAAAGTCGATAGGGAACAAATGTCTGAGCCTGTCGTTCAAGCTTAGGGACACATTTTTTCCAGTAATGCGTACTCAATCTATTTGCATGCGATAGTACACCAAGGTATGTTGGAAGAGTTCTTGTGCAAATAATCCCTGCAAAGTGGTTCGGTGTCCTACCCCACAATCCAAACCACAGTCCTAAACTTTTAGAGGCATATAAACGAGCTCCTGATACTACGCCAAACTTTTCAATAGTATATACCACATTTTCGACACTTGGCTTATCTGTGCAAAAAGTGCGACATCCTCTGCATGAGCTAATACTTTAACTTTACTGCCTAATATACTGAAGCCATGAATGCAACTCGACTGCTTTATGCTTAAGCACAGTGGTTCTAGATAAAGTGCAAATAGGACAGGTGACATCGATGACAAAAAATTCTTGCGGCAAAATGCTTCTCATCGTACGCCCAACAACTTTCATGGTGTATTTAATATGGGCCCTGGTGAGTGGCCCTTTAAAAAGCAAACCTGTTTTTTGCTTTATTACCTGTTCCCAGACACTGTGTACATGAGCAGTGACGAAACGGTCAGAAGAACAAGTAGTGGGAGTCTTTCTGGACAGATACATATGATAAATTTATTTAGAGCTTTCTGGCTCCACTCCATAACTACCAATGAAAGAAATTTGTCGTACTATCAACATTTGCCCGAATCAATGCTTACGCATAAGATCTAAAACGACATGAGCATTCTGAATACAATTTCGGTGCTCATTCGTGGACTACTTTACGTTTCCATTGATATCTTTGCATCCTACCCATCCAACCGAAGATCGTCAGATCTCACTGATCGCATTTGGTCTCTTTCACCACGAGATATTTTGAGACGATTTATAATCTGATAATGATAACCTCGTTAACAGAAGCAAATGCTAATGATAGAATTTTGTGTAATAAACTTCTCTTTTGTTACTTCAGATGAAACTACGGAAGTTCACATTTCGCTAAGTATTGCATTTTGTAATCGTGTTGGGCTTGTCATGCCAACCATGACATGCCCAAAAGCAACCCTGTGCACAATTGAGAAGCCCCTAATGCATGCGTAATCTAGAAGCAGGCAATAATAGACATTCCACCCGCTTGCCAGCCTCTGCGATAATACGCGGTGCTCCTCTTTCAACAACAAGATGTCCATGAGGCGGTGAGTAGTTAAAGGCTTAAACTTCTTAAAAAAGCTCTTTTTCCCCACGCCGAACCACAAGAGCCATGCAGCGCCGACCAGACGGCATTTTTGAAAAAACAATACGTTTTTGAAAAAAAAAAAAAGAATACGCAGACCGCGCACATCATAAGAGTGAACGTCAGAAAAAAAATGAAGAAAAAATAAAAAAAGAGGAGGGATATGGAAGGGAAAAAGAAAGGGAGTGGAAGGGGCAGTCCAGCTCATGTTCTCATTGCGTTTATTTTCTTTCTTTTCTTCTTTCCTTCTTCTTCTCCCCTCTCTTTTCTTTTTTTTTTCGCGTACCTTCTATCATTTAAGATTGTATAAATCTGAGCACCAACAAACTGTACCCTCAATCCTGATGAAGGCCAGACTCTGGCTGAAACGTCGAAATAAACCACTTTGTGACTGCTCACAGAAGATCTACTTGACTATTTGCAACGCTATGGCACTCTATCACCATGCATATATATATATATATATATATATATATATATATATATATATATATATATATATATATATATATATATATATATATATATATATATATATATATATATATATATATATATATATTAACAAATTACTGCAGGCCCATTTAAGGGCCCCAGCAGGAGGGCCAAAGATCATAACATTGCACACAGGTGTAAACAGCAAGAATATATATATATATTATGCCTTGAAAAAGACGGGGTTCCCGTCGAAACGTCGGCACAATAAACAGTTGTTATGTGAGAGCGCATCTACTTTCATATTTATAACCTTGCGACAACCGAAGTTATTCTTCTGCACACACACACACACACACATATATATATATATATATATATATATATATATATATATATATATATATATATATATATATATATATATATATATATATATATATATATATATATATATATATATATATATATATATATATATGGGTGATTTCACGAGAGATCGACACGGGTCCAAAAGTTGAAATTTGAGATTTCATTGAGTATTCTATATTTCGTGCACCTCTCACCAGGTAGCCCGAAAGTCAACATTGTTTTATGATCAACGGCATAACTTACGAGAAAAAAAATATCAAACTCCACCAACACAGAGGCACCAATTTCGTCACCTGTCATTTTCGAAAATTGCAGATGCTATAAAAAGACAAATAAATTTATTTCAAGGAAGATATTTTTTACCTGAAATGCATGTCTAATGAAGATTGAATTCGTACGGTTTCAAGTTTGTAGACCTTAAGAAAATAGCTTTTAAATATGTCTAATTTTGCGACAGTGTAAATTAAGTTAAGTATTCCCTATTATTTTTCTCCGAAAGTAATGCAAGCAGCGTTTTCAAACTTTACACGCTTCAAGGACATAGCATGTTTATTAGGTACATAAATTATTGCTGCCGTAGGGCAATTGTAAATTTTTATATATTGCCTCAAAGTTCTCATATTGGCAAAAGTGTATTCCACTGAAATTCGAATAATAAGAAAATCTCATCTTCGATTTTTCTTAAAATCTCGTAAATAGACAACCGAAGGGTATCATACAGTAGTATAGAAAAACATCTTGCATTATTTTGTTTTTAGTGACAATATTCGTGGTACAACTCAGAGCTTTTCGAGAATGCGCTGATAAGTTGAGAAATCTAGAAATCGGAACGGAAAAGCGGCAATGAGTTTCAAACGCGAGTAAACGTGACCGCATTTGGTGAAGAAAGGCTGTTTTAGCAGATAGGAGTAACTATTTTGAACACGGTGTTCTACAGTATCTGAATTCACTCTTATACTTAGAGCACTGAGACTTCTAATATGTGGTGCCTCTCCATTACTGACACACAGATGGAGCTGCTGTGACGGCCATGTGTTTGCAACACGTTGGGTAAGAGAATTGATTGTTGGATGAGTTCATAAACGATTCATAACAAATTTTTATCATTTGGGGCACGAAGACTGCCGCATTAGACGGAAGAACACGCTTTAGGGCTAGTTGTCAGCCGTCGTTTGCTCTACAGATGAATTGCTAAGCGCCGCATATCAGAGGCAATGCTTTAGATCATATGGTTCAAAGAAGGGACAAAGATTACGCCTCCCGTAATTTTATAGACAAAAACATAGTGAAATTCATTTTAACGTACTATACTTCAGTTTTGCATTCGCACTGTGGATACCTGCGCGCAAGTATCCACAGTGCGAATGCAAAATCGTGGAATCACCCATATATATATATATATATATATATATATATATATATATATATATATATATATATATATATATATATATATATATATATATGGTAAACGTTTCCGCTTCACAGTGTTCATTGCGAAATATGTGTAAAACAGTGTTTTACCAGTCAATTTATTGTTTACCCTTTGTCATTACTTAATATCTGAAAACTCTAAGTCTTCGTCATTTCCAAGCTCGCACTTTCAATTATTGCTGCTGTGATACTCTCACATATATGTACTCATATCTTGAGGTCTCCTTGGCAGTTTACACAGTGAGACTTTCAGATGCCTCACTAAATACGCAAGCTCGTTCACAACCGCGTATGTGGTGAGAATGAAAAAGCCGACGTCATTTCATTTTCTTTTCAAATGACAACGTGCGCAAACTTTTCTCAAAATTGTTGCGGTACCGTTTAAGCGATGCGACGCGTGCTGAAAGTTTATTCAAATGAGCCTATTTTCACTACTCACACGTATCCCCGGGTAAACTTTTCAGACTCGGGTACTTCTTGGAGGCCAGAACAGTGCGTCCTGGTTCGTCGTCCAGCCAATGGCACCGATGACCTTCGCGCTGTTCGAATTGCGCGCATTGTGTGCCGCGCGGACAGCAGTGCTCCCCGTCGTCGCAGCACTGGGCGTGCTCGTGAGGACAGCAGGTGTACTGGAGGATGGCTGAAGAAGCCGCCAATAACGAAGAATGGGCGGGACAGCACGTCGAGTTCTGGTGACAGTAGGTACCGTCCGGACACTGAATCCACGGTGCTGTGAGTGAAGAAACAACACGCATACACTATCTATCTATCGCATACACTATCTATCTATCTGTGAGCTTCATCCGGAGGCCCGCGGACGCCATGGCTCATAGCGCCTATGTCAGATGCTCGTGAACTAAATGTCCCGAGCCAACCCGAGCGGCCTCGTGCCATCTGCGCGCTTGATGCTGGCTGCATCCGCTGTGGCGTCTGCTATGCCGGGTTATGCCGTCTGCTCCTTCCATAGCTGTGACACAGGCCACAACGCCGACCCGATTCCATTAAATAGCAGTTAGGTAGTGAACTATGCCTATTTCTGTTGTGATGCAACTCAATGTAAGTGAACTACTCGAGCACGTGTGCATCATAGACCGGCGCGATCGTTCCACCACTGTTTCTCCTAGCGAGTATGACGCGTGTTTGCCCGACCTTAGGGAATACACACATCCTTGACGTGGCTCAGAACACCGATGACAAGAACTGGGTGCGCAAACAATGCGAAATTCAGAAACATGCGAGAAGCAGACAGAAAAACAAAAAGAGAGCAAGAGCACGTCAAAAATTTCCGTGTCTAACTTTAAGATGGCCGCACTTGCATGCGCCCCACGCTGTCGGCTGCCAGCTGCCCGAAAGAAATCGTTCGGACGGTCCCGGGCTGCCCACAGGCGGCCAGGCACGCAAAAAACGAACATGCGTCCGAGTGATCTGCCTGCCTGCCGGCCGCCCGCCCGCCCGCCCGCCCGCCCGCCTGCCTGCCTGCCTGCCTGCCTGCCTGCCTGCCAAGGTCATCGTCAAACCCCAGCATTCTGCGTGGCAACCAAGTATTCTAACACACACAGCCACACGAAACCTCGAATTACTTTTAAAGCAGACCATAATGTTCTGGAAGTATCAGTTGGGGATGCAGGGATGGCTATCCAGTTTTATATTTATTTCAGGTGTATTCGCGCTATACAAGCGTCACGTCGAGTTAAGTTTAATTGTAGTCAATATCAATGCACTGAAGGTAACTGACAGTTTATATCAACCAAAGAACTGTAGGAAGAGACATTAGAAATTTTATTTCGAGAGCGTTAAGAGACAAATCAGTGCATGTTTATGAAGTTAATGACGAAGAGTGGGTGAACCAATAGGTCCCGAGGTGCATAATGCCTACTTTGAAGTCGCCAACTATAAATAAAGGACGAACAAATGGACAGAGAGGCGCATGGGTGGACGGATGGGCTCACGTGTGCATGGACGGTAGGACACACACCCACGGATAGATGCATGTACAGATGAATGGATGGACGGATGAGCAGATGGACATGCGGACGGACGGATGGACAGATGCATGAATGGACGGCGTGAGTGACCACGTATTTTACTGTCGTATATTTGATTACTTATTAGGTTAGTTGTTTACACATGTTCTTGTTTTTTGTTGCGCTGGTGCTCGGTTTCGGTTAGCGTTTTGTGGGACATGGTGGACGCCAACTAGGTCAGCCCTAAGAAGCTTCTTCCCTAAAATCTAGCATCCGCAGCATTGACCCAACGAACGCATCGAATAAATATTATGATCCTGACAGGAATCAAACAGCAGTATTTTGTGTGGCGATCACGTATTCTGCCACGAAGCCATGCCACGTCTCGGAACTGCTTTTGAACTAGACCGTAATGTTAGTAAAACGTCAATTATGGTTGCAGTGCTGGCTATCGAATCTTATAAACAGTAAGTACACATGTATTACTATCATAGAGACATCATGTCGGGTTATAAATATTAGTAATAAAACTGCTATTCACTGAGGCTCATTTATGTAGGAGTGAGGGCCGCCATCCTCGCTGGCATAAGGGCTGCATATCAGTTCACCGATTCTGTTGTTTACTAATACCCATGTTGATGTTAGCATCGTTACGCAACCGTAAACATGCGTCTGTTTAACATATGCCTGTGAGTACATGATTTGTACATATTTTTAACGTCATTTCATTACGTTTCGCTCAATATAAAGAAATAGAACAGTCACCTCCCCTCCGCATGCTGCGCTTAACACCTATTCCTAAGGAACGTGGGATCTGCTGAACTCTTGTTTATGGATGTAGAGAAATCACCCCGGCATTTCGTAGAGCAGGCGATCGACAAGCTTTCTACACAGCCGAAACGCCTACATATTACCCCAAATACGCGGCATTCAGCGCAGATTCGGGACTGAGGTAAAGTCTAGCGCAATTAGAAGGTTATCTTCGACTGGCCTAGCGTATAGGGGCCAAGCGGCGCGTTTCGGAACTGTGAAAAATCAAGAATACGCAATCTTTTTTCCCACGTTGGCTGTGCCATGCGACAACAATCACCCCTACGGCGGACTATGCACACTTTATCTCTGTTTCAAACGTTTCATTCGTTTAGATCAAGCGCATACGTCCTTGATTATTATCGCTGAGGACGGTAGCAAACTTGGTGGGAAAAATATGGTAATGACGATACTTGGCAGTGCTTTATTTGAAAAACTTGCTGAGTTACGCAGAGTGTAGGACATCGCCATTTATTTAAAAGAATAACAGAAAATAGCCGGCGGTTTCCTCAGACATTACTGATCGCAGTTAAAGGACCAGCAGAGAGAAGGAGTGAAGCTTCGCTGATATTTCCCTCTCCTAGAAAGATCATTCTGGCTGTGCTGATGTTGCAGTTGTAGGTTCACGCTATAGCATGATATAACTTGGAAATCGTGCTCGACAGCACAGGGTGCGTCACAAGATCCCATGTAGACCACTCACTACCTGGTGTAAACCTATGGAAGCGTAGCCTGGGAACTTTTGACGGACCCTATACGTATCATAGTGGCACCCCGGCAGTTCAGAACTATGCGCGCGGAGCGTATTTCCAAGTGCACCGACAACGCGTGCGCATCTTTTGCTCGAAGCACAGTTGACAGCGCTGGAACGCATCAACGACGTCATGTAAATTTATTTCATAATTCATTCGGGTCTCTTTCAACGTTGGTACGAGAAAAATCATCACGCAGCAACTACATTGCCACGACAACAATACATCGGTCGTTTCCGAATCCTCTCTAATTCTCACGAAACGTACTTGGTGTATATTAGACAATTTAGGTCATTATTGTTCTAATTTAGCGTAGTACTATGTGTACGCTCAGGAGCGCCAGTTGACGGGATACACAGTGTCTCTGGTTCATTCAGTTAACCGCTTTTTTTCATCATTGCTTCAAGTTATAAGTGAAGCACCCGGTGTATAGCAGAAGACGGGCCGACTACTAAAGCTTATAAGCACACACTTGACCTAGAGTTGTCATAATATTAGTTTAGCAAGTAGCTTTTCTTTATTCATGGGACTTGAAACCACATGCTGGCGTAACAGAAATATATGGGCGGCAGCGGCCACGGTGTTGCTGCCAGACGATATTGAAACCTGCTCTCCTTTACCGCCAGCTTCTACGTTTTGGTTAGTATGACGGAGGGTGACAGCGGGTACCGAGCCGCCGAGCAGCAAGTGGCCACGAAATAGCAGAATTTTAGAAATGTTAAGGCTAGCTAAATTAGGAGTGATATATATGTATATATATATATATATATATATATAGGTCTGGCTGAAACGTTGAAATAAACCGCGTATATATATATACCCTTTTTCATATATATATATATGTATATATATATATATATATATATATATATATATATATATATATATATATATATATATATATATATATATATGAATATACTTGTAGCGATGCTGACGCCGACAGGTTAAGAAAACAAGCGTCTTTATTAGGGCGAACTTGTGCCCACGATTCTAAAAACTATGGTCGTCAAGTTCGAGTAGCCGAGTGGCACAGATCCGACTATCTTCCTCTTCCTCGTTGTTGAACGTGCGAACGCGTGGCGCATGCCAGCCGAGCCGGGTCTTGCTGGTGCTGGTGCCACGATGATTGTGGCGGGCTACTTGAATGTGGCGAACCTGTCGCAGCATTGCCCCCCTCCTCAGACGCATCGTCCCGATGCTTAAGACAGTGAAAGATACACGCGCACTCTCACTCGTTTTTCGACGATCTGTCATGATAGGGCTTCATGCGGACTACGTGGACCACTTCCGTGGGATTGCGGCGTCTTGAACTCACGTGTCCAGCGGATTTAACTTCATAAGTGACGTTGCTGATACGGTTGAGTACTTCATAAGGGCCGAAGTATCGGCAAAGAAGCTTTTCAGAGAGTCCGCGGCGGCGCACTGGTATCCATATCCACACTTTGTCACCGGGATGATAAAGTGTGTCACTGCGTCGCTTGTTGTAGCGACTAGAATCGACGTGCTGTTGGTGGCGTATTCGGTATCTTGCCATTTGCCGTGCTTCTTCGGCTCTTTGCAAGAAGTCATCTAAGTCAGGTGGATAGCTGCTTTCGTCATGTAGTGGTAACATGGTATCCAGCGGGGTGGTCACTCTTCGGCCGAATACTAGTTCGAAAGGGGCAACGTGGGTTGTTTCTTGAACGGCTGTATTATATGCGAATGTTACGTAGGGTAATATTTCGTCCCACTGTTTATGTTCAACATCAACATACATTGATAGCATGTCGGTCAAAGTTCTGTTGAGGCGTTCGGTTAAGCCATTTGACTGAGGGTGATACGCCGTTGTTCTTCTGTGATCGGTATTTGTCATGCGCATCAGACATTGCATAAGGTCTGCAGTAAATGCTGTGCCCCGATCCGTAATAACGAGGATGGGCGCACCATGTCTGAGCACTATGTTGTTCACAAAGAACTTGGCGACTTCGGTAGCTGTCGCACCGTATAGAGAGTCAGTTTCAGCATAACGGGTGAGATAGTCTGTGGCTACGACTACCCATTTCTTGCCTGCACGCGATGTCGGCAAAGGTCCTAGGAAGTCCATGCCGACTTGTTGGAATGGGGCATCTGGAGGGTCTATTGGCTGGAGAAGGCCGGCTGGTTTTACGGGTGGAGTTTTGCGCCGTTGACATTGACGACAAGTTTTCACGTAGCGCTGCACT